GCGGCCGTCATGGAGCACATCCGCACGCCCAAGGTGGGTGGCCCCGGCGCGAGCGGAGGAGAGGAGGATGCTGGACGCGCGGGCGCGACTTCCGCTGGGAGCCGGGAGCCCGGACCGCCGGCTAGGGCGGAGAGGTCTGCGCCGCAGCATCCCCCGCGGGGCTGGGCCGGCCTAGGCGCCTGGGCCGCGCGGCTGCGATCCCGCCCCTCTGTCGGCCGTCTGCTGCGTGACGAGCTGTTATAAGCCTTTTCTTCTGGCATTAGGCGTTTCCATTTCTTAATTGTTTTAGGTTGACTTCCCTGAGCAGTGGAGAGGGAGACCGGCCTTGCAGTGTGCTGTGCGCGGGGTCGTGGAGCTCCTGGCGAGCTGCCCGGGCCCAGGCGCACACTGAGCCGCTGGCGCTCCGCTTTCCCCCTGCTCAGGCTGGCTGCCGCTCGGGACCTTCTGTATGATCACTATTTGCTGACGGTCTGATGATGGTGTATCTTTCTGATCTTTTCCAGTGTGTCAAGTCACTCAACAGAGTGACTTGTTCCTGATCATCCAGTAAAATAGCACCGGAACCATTGGCCGTTATAGCCAAACATTCCTACTCGTAGTTGTAGCGGGAATATAATTTAGAATGAAAACAGTGATCATCAATCATGTCTCGTTGAGACCGTAAACTAGCGAAAGAATGTATTTTAAATCCTGTTCGCTCCATCCTACCACCGCAGCTGTTCTCATATCCAGGATAATCGTGTGTTCAAACTCTAGGCTCCTCACCAAGTGAGGTCAAAGCTGTATCTGAGTGGACAGAGCTCTGGTGGCTCCAGGGATACCACTCATTTCATGGGAAGAAAAAGGCAGTTGTTCTGCTTTATGTCCAGAACAGTGTCTCCTAAAATCTGGAATAGTTCCTGAGTATCACTTTATAAAAGCCCCTTTGAAATTGTATGTCAGTGGAAGAGTAGATCTTTTAGTTTACTGGAGAATGTCAGTTCCAACAGTAAATTTAAACTTTATTTTGATTTTTCATTGTGGAATTAAATAGTTGCTTCACAGTCAAGAAATTGTAAATTTAGACAGCATTGCCATAAACCACAGAGTAGGTGGCTCAAAGCTTTCAGGGTTTAAGGGTACTAAATAATTTATTCCAGAATGATGAATTTAACTGACGGACAGCTCTGCCCTTGCTAAGGGCATCCTTTCTTCTTTCGTGATAAAGACAGCCCTTTATAAAGATTATAGCTGATATGAGTGTTAATAACAAGAATGATGGGTGAAATAGCTCTCGATGTCATTTTCTTATGAAGCGTGGATTTAGGGAGTAGACGTTTTCTAGCTCATATTTCGTCTCGCCCTGGACTAAGATGTATATGTAGATCTTAGCAACAAACAATATTTTCATTTATTCTTAAAAACTGTTCTCCATAAACACTTTTATCAGCTGTGTAGTACTTGAAATCACAAATCCCTTCTATCCAGAAATGGAAAAAAATTGGTGGAGAAGGTGAGGATGGAGAATTGTCTGAAGTGCTGTTGAACTGAGGGGCATTTAACATTTAGGATTAGGTAAGGAAAAAAATCTACACAAGTTGAATGAAATTCATTTATTCATTCCATTCCACCAGCATTTGATGGGCTCTGTGTTAAGAACTGGGAACACCAAATAGCAGGAACTCATAACACAGAAGGGTTGTAAATAAGTCACTGCATGATAGAGGTAGGTACAAGGTACAGGAGATGGGGAGAGAAAAATGGATAGAGGATAAGGAGGAAGAATGGATGGAGGATAAGCTCTTCTGCAAGAGCTGAGAGCTAACATGAGTCAGGACCAGGAGCATTTGAGATAGCAGTCATGTAGCTGTGTACGTATATATTGTAACAAGTAATCACAACCTCAGAGATGCTGAAAATGATAACAGTGACAAAAATCAATGATTTAAGTTAAAAATATTCTCCTTTTTTAAATTCTTAAGTCAAAAATTAATTTACATCATCTAAATGCAAACAGAAGCCTAGCATGGTACCAAACACTGGTAATTCCAGCACTTGGGAGGCTGAGGCAGGAGGATCGGTATGAGTTCGAGGCCAGCCTGGGCTACAAAGTGAGCTCAAGGCCAGCCTGAACTGCGTAGTGAGACCCTGTCTCAAAAAGACAAAAAAATAAAAAAATTTTAAAGAATGCAAAGAGAATCAGACTAGTTTCAGAGCATGTATTGTAAAATGTGTAGTTTTAAGTGGTGATAGTCCTCTTTATTATTTGCTTCCGTCATATTGTGAGGGAACAGAATGGACAGATATCTTTGGCCTTCATGGTGTCATGTCTTGGGTTTGTAAAGAGTATGCAGTTTGTTTATCTGACCCATGGTAAATGTGGGGGTAAATATGGTTTTATTTTAGGAGGAAAAGCAATAAATGTACATATAATGTATCTTTGCCTTCCTGTTACAATTTAGGTTACTCATTGACTCTTAGAAAACTATGGAATAGTCATAGTGTCTGTGCTGTGCTTCAGTCTCTGGGGTGCAGTGTAAGGAGACACATGTACCTGAATAATTTGGAGTGCTTTTGCACATACCTCTTTGTGTGTGTGTGTATGCGTGCACATGTGCCCGTACATGTATGTGTGGGGTAGTGTAACTGACCCCTTACTATAGCATATGCTAAGCAGGGTGTTGGAACCATTCTCTCAGAATGGTTCTAGAGGAAAACCTATTTCAGGGGAGGCCAGTTTGTGGTGGACTGGGTGGGGTAGCAGATGCTCTCTGTACTCACCACAGTGAATTTGTGGGTTTTTGTTTTACTGTGTGGATTTCTATACCACTCTAGTTACTTTTTTTTTTTTTTTTTCTTTTTTCAGTAACAGGAATTGAATTCAGGACCTTGTACTTGCCAGGCAGGTGCTTGTGCCACTGAGCTATATCTCTGGCATTTCTATACCACTCTAAAAACTTGGTAAGAAATTGCTCTGTCAGACGCTCAGGAATAATTTGAATTGAAGAACTAATTTTATGAAAAGACTTCAGAACTCCTCAAAGTAGCTTGAAGTTTTTGTCGGATTTGGTTTGGTCCTGGGTTGATGTTAATGTATCTGAGATCCTGGCCAAGTAATCTCTGTTTTTCATGGAGAGCATTTTCCCCTGCATATGTCAGTTGGAGTTTTAAAGTAGACTTGTGATACAGTCCAAACAAACCTTAAAAATGTCTTCTCTTTCCTGCTGCCTCTGCTCCCTAGTCTGAGCAGTTATTCTAAGAGCCTCGCTAGTGGGTCTCCTAATTTGTGGTTTTGCTTTTCAATCCCTTTTCCACCAAGAAGCCTGTGTTCTAGGACACAAATTGATCCTCTTACTTCTCTCCTAAAATTCTTGAGTGGCTTATCTTTGTACCCAAGATCTAAAGTGAGAATCCTCACAGAGGCCCATCAGGCCCTGTGTGGACTGAACCTCTCCTACTTCTCTGGCTTCATTTTGTGACCATTTTTTTGTTACTCACTACTCTGTAATCACAGCTGGCTTTGGTGAGTTTCTCAGATTTGACAGGGTTTTTTCCCCTCTAACACAGGACGTTTGCACTGGTGTTGCTTGTGTGGCAACACTAATTCTACCTCTTTACCTGACTAAATGTCTCATCCTTCTAGTTTCAAAGTGAATGAGATTTCCCTCTGAGAGACTGTATCAAATTCACTCATCTAAATCAAACCTGTCTGTTACGGTTCATCCTGTAACCTTGTATTTTTTTTTATTCCTCTCATTATAATTTTGTATTCATTTGAGTGATATTTGTTTAATGTCAAGCTTCCCTTTTTAACTGGAAGCCTTGCAAGGGTGGGGATTATTTTGTATTCACATGTGTATCTACAGCCTGTGTATCTAATCCAGTGCTAGTACCAGATAAGTATGTGTGTAGTAAATAAATTAGTGATTGAAAGAATGAATAATTCTTAATTGCAGTACTCTACATTTTGGAATGTGTAGCAATCCGCTCCTCACTTGCATTTTACTCAAAACTTTACAGAACTGGGAAGCCTCTAATAGTATTAAATATTTATAGATATCAGAATGTCTTACATAATGTGATTTATGCATATTTTGTGATTACATTTACTGATACAAAATTTAAGTAACAAAATTTACCATTTTTATTATTTTAAAACGTATAATTTAGTGGCTTTAGTACATTTACAATGTTGTGTGTACACCATCACTGTTTAGCTCTAGAACACTTCCATTATCCCAAAAGAAATCCAGTATCCACTAATAGCTATAAATTAGAATATCTTAATAATGTGTTTTGAATATTATTTCATTGAATTTAAACTACTGCTTAATCCTTTACTCTATTTTGGATCCTGATATACATGTTCTAGTTTTCTAAGTTTGTTACCTTGCACTATTTCATGAGCTCGTCTTCTATTACCTTACCCCTTATCTCATCTGAGAAAGAAATAGGGCAGTGGTTGCAAACCTGTGGCACACATGCCGTAGTGAGCATGCAGAGCCCTCTCTGTCAGTAAGAGAAGCAGGTTGCCCCAGTCCAGGTTTGACAAATTTATCAGTATGCATACAGTAGCAACGATCACATTATTTGTGCAAAAGCATGCTAAATGCAAATTTTTACCTTTTGATAAAAAGCTGTTGGTGTCATTGAAAGCTCTGTTAGTGTATTTTTCTTTTAGGACAAAAGATGATAATGTATGAGGTGTTTTTTCTAAATTAAAACCTCAGTGTTCAAATTTAATTGCAGTGTTGGCAGTTTGCAATAAATAAGTGGGTTTCATTTTGGGTACTTGGTCTCTTAATAGGTTTGCCATCGCTGAAATAGAAGAATGTGAATTCTTAGTGACTTAAGCCACTGCACTTCTTGGGGTCTTGATCCTGATAGCAGGGTTACTAGTTCCCTGAGTTTGGTGTCATTTACCAGTTGATAAGCCCACCTTCTATCACCCATCCAAAGAGCTCATTAGAGAAAGTGTCCCAAAATGATGACTGGGTAAATTGAGATGCATGTGTTCATTGGTGGTTTCCTTTTTAGGTTTATGCAAAGTTCCA